GCAGTCGTTAATCTGGGATCCATTTCGATGCTCCTCTTGACAGTCCTTTTGTTTTCTCCGATGGACCAGGACGATCCGGACGCTGCTCAGTTGTTTCCTTGCCATGTTTCCTGAGCTGCACGATGATTCTGTTGACTGTCGAAAGCGGGATTCCCAAATTCTGCGAAATTTGCCGCTGACTTATTCCACCATCTGCTTGACCAACTATCCTTCCTCTAACAAAATCTGACAATTCGAGAGAACCTTGAGTTCTAGGCATGTGGTAGCACAAGATAAAATAGCGAAGGTTCGAGTAATGTGACGTCAACAATGTTAGTAAAGCCTCGACAACAATGTAATTGCAAACACAACGTACGACTCTTACCGAGTTACGTAACCAAACTTGTCATAACTATCGCCTTTAAAATGATTAACTTTTAATTCTCTTGTTATGAAAAACAAAACAATCATTAAATATTAAGTCATAAAATACACTGAGTGGTTACAAGTAAATGGACACCTAATTTTTCGTCATTTACCTGATTTATGCTAACTAATTTGTGTTCACAGAGCACTATATGAATGAAAATGGTCCGCACACTAATATTTAGTTTTGAGACAATCATTTGTGGAATAATAGATTTGTTTCTGTACAACTTTTCGTCTCTAAAAGTGAGGCAATGTATTTCACTGTCAGAGACGGACGTCGTACAGAAATAAATCTATTATCCCACAAATAGCTGTCTCAAAACTTCATATTGTTCGCAAGCTAAGTGATTTTTTTTTTTACATGTGCCAATATATACCACGTATAATTTGGTTTGAATATTTCTGTATTACAAAGCCCTAACAAATCTCAAGACAAAACGGTATTAGGGTAAACTTGGTATTTGATTTCAATATAACACAAAACCTCCGTAGCGAAGATTATGATAAAATTAAAAGTATAAGCTTCCGTGTATTACTCATATTTAGATAAAGTTATGCTTGAATGATAAAAGTGGTAACATCAAAGAGATAAATTTTAGGGATAAGAATAAATAAATTGTTATACTAAAAAATAAATAAATTTAAGGTTTAAGGATAATTTATTTTCTGTTATCGTGGCGACTAGACGACGATGTTAGCTTCTGTCTTCCCGCAGCAAGTAGCCACACCTCAGGTTGTTCGACGGATTCTACGTTATAAACAAGAAAACCCTTCCATGTTTGCCTGGGAAATCCGAGATCTCCTTCGTAGTCACGGGGTCTGTGACGTCAACACCATACCTAGTGTCTCATCCATCAACCGGATTTTACGTAACAGTGGTCACGTGGTACCCGATTGTCCGCCTTGCCCAGGTAGTATTTTAATTATAGCACACGTATTATGTTGTATCACAGTATCCATTCATATTATTTCTAAAATTTAAACCTGGAATACCTATCATTTCTCCGACAGATGTCAGAAATTAATTATATCACATACAGATAGAGCCATGCGTTTAGTTTATACAATATTAAATACATATATTTCTCAAGTCCATTCGCAGTGCTTTTTATTTGGAGTTGGTTGGATTTCTTACAACGAAAATAAATAATTACAATAAACCTGTAAAATACCAAATCAATATTACTGAATTCTTTAAAATTCCTGAAGTTATTTACTCAGAACGTCTTTTGATATTCTTGTTGTAAGTATCAATTAGCGATGTTTTTATCTGATAAAAAAATAAAGCAATTTACAGTTGAAATGGACATACACGTGCTAAAGTGAGTTGTGATCTCACATAATACAAAAAGAGAACTTAGGCTCCAATATGGCATTTATTTGAATATTTCTAAATTTGTAAAAATTATATAATAATATTTTCCTCCTAATCCAAGTGTAAAAATAGCAATAGTTAACTACAGTATATTTCGTTGTATAACCTATCAGTATTATAATTTATTTTGCTAACAATTCAGCAAGTCTTCCTACGAACACGTGATCTACTTCTGAGAATCCACATGCGATCTGAAGGTGTTCAGAGCTGTTCATTAAGTTTTTTATACCAGTTTATGTGTAGTAAGACTGAGTCCTGTCTAATATCCTATGATGCTAAAATATGAAAGTTTAAAATAATCATAACAAACGTTTTAAGAAATTACTCGGATTATCTGAAAATGACTTACATTTATTGGTAGAAAAAATGTTTGTTTGTTTTTGTGCCCAAAGATTTACAATGGGCTATATGCGCTGGGCCCATTGCAGGAATCGAGCCCTTGGTTATTAGCCCTCAAACAAATCATTGAGCCACCGGGGGTGTGGGTGGAGACTGGAGAAAAAGTTTATTGCATGGTTTATAAATATGATGGATGTCTGTTGCAAACTTAATGGTGAAAGTCAAAACATACAAAGATATCAAATAACGTTTTTTGTTTGTTTGTTTCTGCTTGATAATTTATTTAAGAAAACAATAAAACAAGCATCAGAAAATATGCCGAAAATTGTTTGGTTTCAAACACACACACCCGACCTATTTTTACCGATATTGTATATAACCATGCATCTACAATATCTTTCAGTTTTGAGAAATATCAGTCTTAAATGTGTAATTCAAATGTTCATTAAATAATTCTGACAATTTCTTTGTTCTTTTATGAGAGAATTAGTTTTGTTGTTTTGTATTTATTCATCACAAGGGAAGTTTTTATTGAAAAGTACCATACGTATAGTACTACCTATAGTAGGAATGGGCCAAATGTGCAATACAAATTAAAATCTCAAACACACTGTAAACAGCATGTAAACAAAACTTTATAAGCATTTTACATACATTGTTGAGTAGTAAACAAACCAATTGCAGAGTAACAAGCCACCAAAGCACTTGACAAATTCGGGAGAGTAAAAACAAAAATTTCACAAAACCAAAAATTTGTCAATCCGAATATGTGACTGACTAACTGACTAACGTTGTTGAAAAGCATAGCTCTCTCCTGCCTTTAACTTACGCAAATCTAAATGCGCATGAATGAAGTACACTACCTTGGCTAATATCGTTTTTGTTAGTTTTACTTATAACTTTGGTCATAACAAGTAATAACAATAACCATTTTGTAACACTACTAACGAACTAAGAATATACTAGTAGCCATATTCTATGATTATGAGCACGTTCTATGAGTTGCCAAGTAACATCCCGCCCTCATAACACGTGCGGGTGCACGATTGCTTATGCGCATACGCTCAGTTATCATCCTACAGCTGTATCAGCTGGATAAAAAAACAAAAAACGTGGACCATGTAGATTCTCTAGATCTAGGTTCTAATTATTACCTAACCTTTGAAAGTGAAGTTTTCAATTATACATATCTGACTCGAGGGTTCTGTGTTGGACAAAGCAATTCTATTATAGCAGTCGGTGCCTAAGACGTGAGGACGAGCACTACCACTACCGAATTTTGCTCGAGTACTCCAGATTGAAAACAAGAACAATAAGTTGTATAATTTACTTTTGCATTTTTTTCAAACTAAGGGTGACATATTGACATCTAAGGTTGTACTTGAAACAGTGCAATTTTTAAAATATGCCTTTCAAGGAAACAAAACGAGAGCAAAGGAGAAAATCTTATGCTGATAATCTTGAAAAGTTTTGTTGCGGTGAAGAGAGCATGTCAGGGTTTTAAATATGAGTAGGCTGAGGATTCCTCTTCAGTAGGTGTCTGTGACGTGTTAGCAATAAATTAGAAAATAAGCAGACAGCACACAATTCACTTGTTTTAAAATAATATATTCAAAACAAGTCAAATGTATATTCAAAAATTATTTACACCATAGGAAATTACAATAGTATCAGTGAATAATTCACTTACGCTACCTCGTGGGTTACAACAGTTGTATCTCGAACTTTAAATAATTGTCTTCTTTCGTCAAAGTCCATACAGATGGGTTCAATTACTTTAGTACACCCTTTGACAAGACAAATTATTCTCCTTATCTCTTAAACTGTGAAACTCACTTTAAAATATCAACCGTTAAGGCTAATCACTCACACGCCACCTGACTTTTTCTTTCGCTAACTATTTTTCTGACTGAACTGCACTTGACTTCACTTCACTTTGTTTCTTTAGTTCTTAACTTGCGCTCGCTTGGTCACCTGTATTTATACGTGGATCACTGAGGCCTTGAACTTTCTGAAAAGGAAGTGAACGGCTAAGATTTAACAATACTCAGTTAAGGTAACGAGACAATTATACTCTGAAAAGAATGCCTTCATCGGGTAACAGTGTACTGAACGATACAAATTCGTTTGTCTGTGGAACATTTTTAAACAACAGAGTGTGTAAGATATTTCTACTACTATAAGACTACAAAGACCGAGGTTTGATTTTTCAGTTTATGATAAGCCTAAACAACAATACTTGTCTTAAGCTATTTGATACAACAACAATTGTTAAATGGTGTAAACGCCTCTAACAAGCCAGCGAAGAATGGTTACAGTTACACTTGTCACACAAGTCTGAAGGCTTATAACGCTAAAAACCGGGTTTCAATACCGGTGGTGAACATAGCACAGATAGCCTATTGTGTAGCTTTGTGCCAAACAATACCTTCCATCCGGAAGTTAAAGTTATGATTTAAACTCCGAAAGCTGGCGAAGCATTAGAAATCAATAGGCCTAAAACTTGTGATAAACTGCAGATTTTTTTTTTCACATTCTTCTTAATTTGTCCGTTTCAGATTCAAAATCAGAGACGTGAAAAAATAGCATTTCATATCTATCTTTTGTCTTCCAAAAGTCACTGTTCAAGAAGCTTTTCATTCAATACCAGAGTCATTCATTGGGCTGGAATTTTGAGACAAAAGATAGACGTAAAATGTTACTTTTATACGCCTCTGATTTTGAATCCGAAACAGACAAAGTAAGGGGAATGTGTTAAATATAACATATGCAGTTTACATGATGTTATTCATAAATTTTAGGTCTATTGTACAAAATGCCCAAAACGAATTATTACAAGTACACAATAATCAGATAAAATTTAAACTTTTACATAAACCGAAAAATAAGACATCGATGTGTATAGACGTATAACAATATAAATGTCTTAAACACACTCTGTTGTTTAAAAATGTTCAAGACCGAATAATTACTTGAATATTAAAAACATGAAAAATAAAATATATCGTCATAAATATTGTATAGAAAACATGTTCACAATCCAAAGTAATGCATATAGAATTATTGGTCATGAGTAAATCATGAGGAAAGAAATTTTTAAAAGATTAATTTTACGTTGTTAGCATGACAAGTGATATTGTTTTATGCCTTTGATAATTGGTGTCTATAGAGTACTAAGTAGTTGTCGGCCGTTGTTTTGGTTTATACCCACTAGTGGTCCACTGTCTTGTGATTGGGTGGCAATAGCTTTCTTAATCTTTCTTCATTTTATGTTTCCTTCTCTGTCTATCACTTTTGCATTTTAAAATCTATTAGGTCGTCGTGTTCCTGATCGTGATAAATAATAGCCGATTTGTCCATAGCCAGTACTGGATTAACGCATTGGCTACCTAGGCCCGGACCAAACAGGGTCCCGCTAGCCGCCTAGGCCCGGGCCAAACAGGTTCCCGCCAGCCACCTAGGCCCGGGCCAAACAGGTTCCCGCCAGCCACCTAGGCCCGGGCCAGACAGGGTCCCGCCAGCCACCT